CAGCTATCTACATGAAGTTACAAGATGGCAGACAAAATCTCATGAGAGTACTGAGTCAGTTTCCTCACGGCAGGATCACATTGTTCCAGAAAGCATTGCACCAATTCTTACAAGCTAGATTACCAGGAAAGGAGACATTTGCCTATGGTTTGTCCATGTAAAACGCTCCATTGGCCAAATTGCCCCGATGGTGATCTCTCAGAGTTCATTTTACTTGCTATGTCTAGTTGGGCTCCTCTTTAATACGGCAGTAGAAGGTGATTGACAAACAGTGGAAACCTGTGGAGTCTTGTGTCTGGGTTTCAATATACTAGCTCCTTTAACATACAAAGGTTGTTGTAATCAGCCCTCTCTACCTCTTGACAGGCAGGCATATATAGTCAATCGTTTCTTCTATAACCCCAAACATGGTCCCTGTATTTCTGACTTCTCCCTAAGTTTCTAAATCCTGGCCTTTCTATGGTGGTGTTCCTATTACATGCCCCACACAGTTTGGGCTCCTCTTAACTCCTGCCTTATCTGGCAAACAGTGTTTGGTTTCTGCTCTTGACAACTCCCTTGGATTTGGCATTTACATTTCCTGCTCTCACTAAATGCTCTCTCATTGCCACCATACTAGAAACCGGTGTCACACAGAACTTCTGCCCCATCCCTCCTGTCCTGTCCCTTCCCCAAGTGACATTATCCACTTCTTCTCATAGATATGCTCAGTACCTTTGTTGATCACTTCCCACTTTGGTTCTGTGAGGGTTTGGGGATAAAGAGAATTAGAGGAGGTCTCTGTCTTTCTAGAGACCTTTAATTCTCCTGTCATAAGACTCTGAGAATACAATGGACTCTCTCTTAGCATCTCAACTCAATAATCCAAACTATTTGTTTGGGATATTAGTTAAATCCTGAGCCTTAAAGATTCTAAACTAAAGGTATAAATGTAGATTTCACAGAATGCACAGATATAAAACATTGGAATTAATAAGCCTAGATCCACACTGAACGTTATCTAGGATAAATTTAAGTGAAAGAAAGTCAGGGAGAGAAAATGCTTTTGAAAAAAGATCTGATAGCCAGGCTTGGTGGTGCATGCCTTATAATCCCTGCTACCAGATGAATAATGCTGGCGAGTTCTGAGCTTCAGTAGGGCTAAGGTTGATTGGGTGTCTGCATTAAATCTGGCAGCAGTATAGTGAGCTCCAAGGAGGGGAGTGGGGGGAGGGGACAGGTTGGACCCAGAGTAGGTCAAAGCTTCTGTGCATGTCAGCAGTGGAATCATCCCTTGAGTAGGTGCTGTACTTCCAGCCTGGGCAAAAGAGGTAAATCCAGTCTTAACAAGAGAAAAAGGGAAGATAAGGAAAAAGAAAAGAAAAGATCTTATAACGTTCAAAAGAATACAGGAAAACATGTGGCAATGCCAATAGCCAAATCACTGAAACATGAATCAGACTAAGGAAGAATAATCATAACTAATATTTACATAGCATTTACTATGTGCCAGGCACTCTGCTAATTGCTGTATAATTATTATTTCATTTGATCCACAACAAACCTGGGAGGTAGATGCTATTATTATCCCCATTTTACATATGAGGAAACTGAGGCAAACAGAGGTTAAGTGACTTGCCTAAGTCTTCCTGACTCCAGGCCTAGTGCTCTATCCACCGTGCCACCTCGCTGCCCAGTGACAACAAAGGGCGCAATACTGCATGTGCTCAGAAAGGACAGTGCCATGAGAATGCTCTTTTCCTTCTCCAGTTTCTCCAAATCCATAACACCTACCTTCATGTACGGAATAAACATCAAGTCCCTTCAATAACCTCTGAAGAACTCTCTATAATAATTCTCCCTGGGAGAAACAAGGCAAAGCTAACCACATTTATCAAGAAAGAAAAACCAAAATTCATTCTCTAACCTAATGGGTTATTTCCTTTCTTGTCAGATATTCACGGTCCATTGTCAAGAAATAAATTATCAATTATCCAGCTGAATAATTCAGGCCCCAAGTCTCACTTTTTCTTCAATTATCAGGACATATGCAAGAATCATGGATCATAGAATCAGAGAGCTAGGGTTAGAAGGTAACTCATAGATCAACTGGTCTAACATGCTCTTTTTACAGATGGGGAAACTGAGGTACAAAGTAGATTAGTAGAGTGCCCAGATCAGGAAGGCCTGAGTTCAAATTCAGCCCCAGACACTTACTAGCTGTGTGACCCTGAGCAAGTCACTTAACCTGTTTGCCTCAGTTTCCTCAACTGTAAAATGAGGATAATAATATCACCTACCTCCCAGGGTTGCTGTGAGGATCAAATGAGATAATATTTGCAAAAAGTGCTTAGCACTGGGCCTGGCACACAGAAGACGCTATGGAGATGCTTGCTCCCTTCCCTTTCCTTAAAAGACTTGCCCATGGTCACACAAACAATAAGCAGCAGAGGCAAAATGTTACCCCATGGTTAAGCTACAGTAATCTACAGTATTTGGGACTAGCAGCCATCATCATTGCCTCATTAAACAATCATTATCCTCAGATCATAAGGGATTTTTAAACAAATACAGGAAAGTTTGTTTATAAAATCAATAGCCATATACAGCGATATATGGTATTTCATTTAATTAAACCCAAACATCATCTTTTCTTAAAGCCTATTACCCTACCTAAGTCTTCCTTTTTTTTTTTTATCAATACCATTATTCTCCCATCTCAAAATTTCAGAGCTGTCCTTGGCTCCTTTCTCTGTCTCTGTCTGTCTCTGTCTCTGTCTGTCTCTGTCTCTCTCTCTTCACATCTAATCAATCACCAAATCTTGCCTATTCTTCTTTCAAAAGATTTCTTACATTCATTCTTTCCTCAGTTTTCTCATCTGTAGACTGGAAAAACTCTGACCCAAATTATCCAATAACCTAAATATGAATTGAAAAATTAGTAATTACAATACTAATTTTATATTCAAACCAATTCCATGATATAAATTCACAGCAAATGAGAACCAAAGATCCACGTTTCCATCGTGTTGCAAAGGAACAGATTATTAGCTCATCCCATCAATTTTTCAGGCTCTCAGCTATTTGTATTCACATGGGACCCAATCTGCTAGTCAGGCAATCCATCTGTTGTCCATCATCACGACCCACCCAGCATCTTTTGTGCATGCACAGTATCTCACATTTGAATGGTACTTTATAGTAGACAAAATTATTTCCTCACAAAAAACCCATAAGGTTATGTGGTGCATGTGCCATTCTCTTCATCATAAAGACTGGGTTAGAGAGGCCAAGTGACTTACCCATTGTCATATAGCCAGAGAGTGAGGGAACCAGACTGGAATTCAGGTCTTCTAATTTCACATCCTAAGCTCCTTTCATTACAACATGATGCCTCCCCATATTTAAATACCTATACCCCCATGCAGGTTCGCACTGCAGGACCCCATGCTTTCCTAAAAAATGGTGAAATTCACAGACTAATGAAAAACCAAGCATCTGCAATATTTATATACATGCATACATATGTATACGTATATATATACATGTATATAATTTGTTGTCATTTTCAGTTGTGTCCACCTCTTTGTAATATCATTTAGGGTTTTCTTGGTAGAGACTGGAGTGGTTTGCCATTTCCTTCTCTAGCTCATTTTAGAGATGAGGAACTGAGGAAAATGGAGTTAAGTGACTTGCCCAGAGTCACACAGCTAGTAAGTGACTGAGGCTAGATTTGAACTCAGGAAGATGAGCTTAATAACAATAATAATATATTCTATATACATATCTATATGTGAAAAAGAAAAACAGCCCTATTCTTATCCTGCTGAGCAAATACTTTCCTCCACCCTAAGTGGGAATGTGATAAAAACATACCATCAAAGGCCCCAGGGAATTTTATGACAAATCAGTAGCAGAAACAAGTGCCAATTGGAGATTAATTTTACATATGTTTATGGAGAATATACATACATCTCACTGGGCACCTGCACACCCAGGCACCAAGTTAATAGAGTTGCTATTGTAGGCCACTGAAGGCAGCTGGCTCTGAAGGCAGAAGTGTTCAGACTTGAAAAACAGGTGATTGTACATTCTTAAAGCATGTGCAAAATATTAATCAAATCGTTTATAAAATGCCAGCAGCTGTTTGGTACAATGCATTTCATTGGCCACAGCTACTAACTTAAAGTCTGATATCTGCCACACATATATTCACACAGAGAACCACAAAAAGAGTCAAAGCCTTAAAAGAATTTCACAGTCTATTCACAAATGTGTCTTAACTTTGCACTGTTCTATTCCCAGTCCAGAAAATCCCAAAGGAAACCACTTTAAAGCAACATCTTTTCAACAATACTAGGTGACCATTCACTTAGAAAAGGTCTACTGGGGGTAGAGGGGTGGGAGGTGGAGTCTTCATGCAGCAGGCAAAAAGAAACACAGTAGGGGTGGGGTGAGGTGAAGGATGATAAAGTCTAGGATTCCATAGATTGGGAGCTGAAAGGGACCTTAGTTTTAAAAATAAAGAAACTGAGGCATGGAGAGATTAATTGACTTATCCAAGGTCAAACTCTTTTTTCTGGCTCCAAGGTCTATACAGATCCATAGGACTTAGACTTGCAAGGAAGATTACGAATTATTCTATCAAGACCTCCTCATTTTAAGAATAAGAAAACTGAGGCCCAGAGAGGGTCTTGGGAGACTAAGAGATGTATGAGCAAGTGGGCTTATGGGTATGGAATGAGGAACTGCACCAATGTTCAGCAAATTTATCTCAAAATTAAAATGGGCTTAAAGGTGAAAGAAACCCCCTTTTCAACATCCTAGGAAATGAATAAAAGAGGTTTTTTGTTCTATTACTGTGTTACTAGTGTAAGTGCTAAAGCATGCAGAGTGGCTATTTCCCTCTTTTTTAAAAAACCCAAAGTCAAGCGACCCATGTTCTTTTCTAGGACATCTAGAATGTTTACATTCATACACAGCACGATGATTCTCCACATAACTAAAATTTGTCACTGTACCTTTCCACTCCATCATCCTTGTTGGACTTGGCTGAACCGGCCGTAACATCTAGAGTATCCTTTTCAGGTACCCAAGTGGGAAGAGAATGATCAGGCTCGGGGCTCTTTCTGAGATGATGGAAGAAAGCAACAAGTGTAATTTGTTAGCTGGTTTTCATCTCTATGTTTCTTTGAATGAACACATGTTTTCCAATGAGAGCTTCGTGCAACAGTTGAACTAAAATGCACGGGGAAAAAATTAAATTCATTCACTCAACAACTCTGAGGGATGTTTGAAGCACATCAGCCTCCCCACCCTCACCCCCCACCCCACCACTGCCCAAAATATACTCTTCCTAAACAAATCCAGAGTAGAAAACAGATGTATCTGAACTCCCATCGGAACCAAACCTGTACTCTATGAATGACTGCTAATCTATGACACTACAATCCACAGGGCATAAAGTAAACAGTTTATATTTTTAAACAGTTTTTAAATTAAACTGAAAGAACTGAAGAAAACATATGATAAATTGGTAATTGTCATGATTCTCCAAATATTTCCCTCCTCAGTTATTTAGGCTCTAAGTCAAAACTGCTGCAATTCAGAGAGGTTAGCAGATGAGAATTTGGGCAATTGGATAAAGGGGATAGAATTCCCTGAAAGCCCACCCATATGCTCTATTGATTTTCCTAGTCAGGTTAATTTCTAATGAATTGTATAAGGGATACGACGATCCCCACAAGAATCAACTGGCCTTAAGTACCTTTCTGTGAGTCTCTCTTCTGACACAACATCTTGGGGTTTCTGGACTTCTCCTTTATCTGGTTCAGGAGGTGAGCAGACAGGTAACTTGTCATCATTGTCAGGTGGTGCAAATTCATGCTTAGAATGTTGGTCAGTCTGTTGGTTCCCAGTCTGGTTCTCTAAACACTGAGAAGCAGCCTTCTCCTCCATCCCCAGAACTGCCTTCAGGGAGCCACGCTGAGCCTCTGGACCTTGACTGGGGTGCTTCATTTGCAGAGCTGAGTCACCACCTGGGCTAAATGACCCTGTCGAAGTACCTGTTTCAGGGCTGCCATTTAAGGGCTGATCCTCAGAGGCCTGAGCTTCTGACTCTACTTCAGTAAAAGAATCTTCACTTTCTGCTCTTGGAGCTTTTTCTATCACCAGGCCAGGTTCTCGTAAGACACCTAACTGGAAGGCCTGCAAACTTAACTCCTGTCTGAAGTAGTCAACCATGGAGTGTGTCAATAGCCCACTGGGGTTTCGTAAATCCAGAACATTTTCTGTTCTTGGGCTCTCCAAAGTTCTTGAGTCATCATGAGCACTGTCGCCACCTTGGGGCCTCTTTTCATTCCTTGGTGTGCTAGCACTGAGCTGCTCATTGCTTCCAGCTGGCAAGACTGGAATGTCCCCAGGTGGAGAGGAAATTTCCTCGACATGCCTGAGTCCTGGGTTGTTGTCCAGTTCCTCGGTCACAATCGAAGCATAGAGCTCATCATCTTTGGGCATCTTTTTGCTGGGGGGTATTTCTTGCTGCTGGCTTCCTGGAGGAGTCAGACCCTCTTGAGATAAAGGCATCTCCGTGTGGACCTGGGAGATAACATAATACTCCTCACCCTTAAAAAGGGTAGCATTTTCCAAAGGTGTCTTCTGCACAGTAATGTCTAAAGGGAGACCTGAAACTAATTCCTGCTTTCCTCCCTGAAGCTTTTGAGGCTCAAATGTAATCCCTGCATATTTCTCACCAGCTGTTTCAGAATTTTCTGTTTTATTTTCTTTTTGTGAGACACCAGATGCAATTCCATCCTTTTCCAAGTTGGTATCTAGCAGGTTCTGTTTCGTGGTGGGAGCGGTTAAGCCTGGTGACTTTTCTATGGCTATACCTTCTTGACAAGTCAACTTGTCTGGGTTTGTTTGGCAGGAGACAGCCTCCAAAGTCAAGTCCTGCTCCTTACCTTTAGTGCCTACCCCTTGTCCCACACGAGTAGTGGAAATCTTGATGTAGTCTCCTCCTTGACCATGATACGAATGCTTCTCTGTGCTCAGCTGCACCAAAGAGTCCTTTCCCACGGGGCTCCATGCAAACCCGTCATTTTCTTGCAGTGTAAACTGTGGACGATCAGTGGTCAAAGCACCAAGGACAGATTTCTCAAATATTTTGCTGATATGTGCCTTGAAATCAGGAAATCCAGCCATCATGCCAGCTTGTCCTAAACCAGAGTTCTCACACTCAGATGTGTCCCTGTGTACCTTGGAGGTATCTGCTGCCTCCTCCTTACTTTTCTCTGCATCCTCTCTTGGGACATCCGCCATTTTCTGAATACTATCCCCAGAACTCCTTGGCTGGGACTTGGAGTTTCTCCCGTTTTGGATCTCTTTGGATTTAATTGCAAATATTTCCTCCCTTGTCTGGGCAGACTTCAACGTGGGTGAGAGGTAATTGGTAAACAAATTTGCAGAGTCCCCGCAGGTGAACATAGGCTCTCCTTCAATATAGGAACTTTCACCAGAAACACTTGGCTCTTTGGTGGAATCAGTCTTTGTCTTGCTATCTTCTGATTTTCTTTCCACAGCACTGTTTATATTGAGGTTAAGACTCTCAGGAGCCACCTTTAATATCTGACTGGATATCCCAGCAGTCGGCAGCTCTGGCTGCTCCCTGTCTGAGACAGTCTGACATGCCGAAGCACTCAAGACATTACTGACAATTCCACCCATTTCACTTTTGAGCCATGAGTCATTCTTGTAGCTGCCAGACTTCTGCCCAGTTTGGCAGGGACTACCTGAGACAAAGGTGGCTTCATTCTCACCACTATCGGGAGCTGGCTCAGCGTCCACCTTAGGACTGCATTCAGTCTGAAGGAAATCCCTGTTATTTGGAGCAGCTTTTCCGAGCTTGTGTGATGCCAGACATGTAGCCAGAATTCCTTGGTGAACATCCTTTCCTCTCTTGGCAGATATACTTTCAAAATTCTGTTTGACATGGTCCTCTTGAGGGCTAATTTTGCTACTGAGTGACAGAGTCTCCTGGTTTGAGGGAGCTAGAAGCTCAGTTTTCTCCTGTGAGCCCACTAGAAGCTGACTGCTATTTGAAGTTTCACCAAGGACCTCCTCTGAGGCATCGGGAGGTATATTGTTGAGTCCGCCAGTTGATGGAGCAGGCTGAATGTCAGTAGCAGCATTAATAGATGGTTGTGTACCTAGATGACAAGGTGAAGCCCCTACCTCATTTGCACTTGCGTTTTCCGTATTACCTAAGCTACTGAGCTGTGCATGCATGTCCGCTGCCTTAGAAAACCCATTTTCTTGGCATGTTTCTTCATGCTGAATATCTGAGATCAAAGCATCCTCCTTCTCTTGCTGGGGCTTGTCAGGCATCTGCCTAGTACAGCAACTTTCTTCTGTTTTGACATTTAAGTTACGTTGAAGAGAAGAGTCTTTTAAATCGACCACAACAGGAGAAGAAATACTGAAGGACCAGTCACTGCTGCATTGTTTCTCTTGGTCCATCACCAGAGGCAACTTTTCTCTTCTTAGTACTGATGAATCCAACTCCTCTGTTGAAGGGCTGTCCAAAGTTTTTTCCTTAGAATCATGTGTACCTGAACTTTGGATACCTGGACTTTCTTCATACTGCATATTTTGGAGCTCTGATATTGGACTTGGTTCCTGTCCACTATAGAGAGGAGGATAGTTCAGGTTTTCCCCGGGTTCTGGGGGTGGTAAGGTTTTTGAGACATCTTCAGTCTTGGCCTTTATCCCTTCAAGACTGTCTGCAGGAATCTCTTTCCTACTTTCAAAGGGAGAGGTGTCATCACTGATGTTGGTTGAGACAGAAAGTTCTGAACGTGAGTGAGATTGCTGGGAACAAATGTCTGCTGATTGTTCAGGATTTCCTAACTGAGTGCTCCTCGTGCTGCTGTTACCTGCAGATGATGCACTTCCCTGCTGACTCTGCACTGGCCCCTGAGCCTCTATTCCACTTTCTTTAGTCAAGGTCTCATTATCAGGATGGTTCTTCACATCTGGGTTGAATTCCTGTCCAACTTCCTCATTTGCAGGAGTACTTAAAGGTCCAACCGTAGGTACCAGCAAGCCCTCAGCATCCTTGCTATAAGACATATTATTTGATTGGTTACTCTGTCCTTTACTTTCAGCCTCCCAGATTTCAGGATTAGCATCACCTCCTGGAGGGACACACATACCAGATTTCCCAGGTTCTGCAACAGGAACAAATTCCATTCTTTCCACTCCTTCGGGACTTTGAAGAGTATCTGGGAGCTCAGGTTGTAGTCCTGTAACCTCTGGAATAGTTTCCCTAGAAGTAGCCTGTCCATCATCTCCATCCTGCTCAACAGGTTGAACATTACTGCTCCCACAGTGCAGAGGCGAGAGCCCACGTGTACCAACAGCATAGATTCCATCAGTCATCTCGTAGGCCAGGGAGCACAAGGCCGAGTTTTCTGACCGACTCTCAGGCCGCTCCAGTTCCATGAGACCCATGTCCTTGGGCACCTGTGCTGAGTCTGACGGGTGAAGCAATCTGGGCTCCAGATTTGTGGGGTTTGCTTCACTCACTCCCTGACTGGATCTACCACTGGAATCAAGTGAGATCTCCTCCTCTGAATGCACAGGTTTTGTGGATGTGGTATCCTCTGCAGCAACTTCCTTTTCTTGAGAGTCATTGCTTTGATTTTCTTCTTTAGTGCCATTTTGATTCGCAGCATCAACAAGTTCCTGGCCTTCATCATTCATCTCCAGCTTTCCCCCCATGCTTTTATTCAACCCACTGGGAAGCATAATGGGGGCTGCTCCTTGTATTCTCTCTGTTTTTCCTTCATTCATGGGAGCTTCTATTTCATCCTTAGATAAATGGACAGAATCTTCTTTAGGGCTCATCTCAGGATGTTTGCTCTCACCCCTTAAATCTAAATTCTCTGGTACCATTCCTATATCTGTCATGGGATACCCTTTTGTGGGGTCTGGAAGAGTCTCAGTAGCCAAGACAACAGGAATCTCTGTGGCCAAACAATTGTGTCTCATTTCAGAAACAGTAACAGCTGGATCTGAAGTATTCTCTGAACCCTTACTGGAAATCAGATATACTTCTTCTCTTTGGGAAAGTACAGATTTAAGCTCATCTCCTTCGGCACTGGGGCCTAGTTTATCAGATAATGTTTCTTGTGTCCCACTCTGAAGGGGGTTTTGAACATCAGTTATGGTGACAGATTCCTTTAAAGGACCTTTGGCCTCTGGATCCGGAACAGAATTCTGGGGCAAATTTGGTAGGGGAAGATTAGTTGCTATTGTCTCCCGATTATATTCCAAAGGAGTGGCATTTGCCTTAGTTTCTTGGGCAACTTCTACAGCCTTAAAATCTTGGCAGTGGGCATTGAGGACTTCAGAATCATCAGCCAAATTCTGAGGTTTCACAAGCACTTTGCCTTCCTCTCCATCTGATGTGCTTGGGGCAGTGTCATTCAGTAACAGGGTCTCCTGTTTCAACAGCAGACCAGCTACCCCATCTGTGTTCTTTTCACCTCTCTGGGTTCCAGCTGGGGCCTCGTGATTTGTTTGCGGGGGCTCTGGATTCTGCTGGGCCTCTTGAGTGGTAACATAATCTCCGGCTTCTCTCCCAGGGGGAGAGGAGCGGCCATGTGGATCACCCTTCCCAGACAGCTGTGCCATCGGTTTTAATGGCTCCAATATCCTTGAATGTATCCTTGGATCCCCTTGTAACACGGTAACATGATCAGAAGAAGAGTCCCTGCTCCCTTCCCTTGGAGCATTCTTTCCATCATCAGCAGAAACAACAGTAGTGACCAGGCTAGTCTCCGCACTGCTGTCTACCGCGGGGGCAAGTCCCGCTTGGGCTTCTTCTGGAGTGTCTGGCACAGGTTCCCCTAAGTTACCATGCAGGATGAGTCCTTCTTCACCGGCCAAGGCCTGATTTGTTTGGATAACATCTTGGCTATGTTCTGCAAAAGGCATGGAGACAGAGATGCTGCTCTCTTGTGTTCCTTCAGTTGAGTGGGATGAGGAGTCAGATGCCACTGTCTTCGGGGCTTCCTGTGGGAGATTTCTCTGTCCAATCACCTCCAAAGACACAGCACATGAACTGGGGTTGGTTGCACCCTCCACTGTGTAGCCGCTGGTGACTCCATGATTGATGCTGCCAACAACGGAAACGTTTCATTGGTTCATTATCATTGAAGACAGAAGAGCACAGCAAACAAAATTCTCCACCCCACCCCAGAAAAGCAACTAAGGTACTGAGTATTGGGGATCATCGCTCCCATGCAGTCAGATTTATTGTGGAGACTAGATGTCGGCATGTTAGTGCTGGAAGGGTCCTTAGTGAGATAGTGTAACCCCTGTACATTTTACAGATGAGGAAACTGAGGAGCAGAGAACCTGCCCAAGGTCACTGAGATTGACTGGGCAAATCCAGGACAGGAACCCAGATCATCTGACTTTGCCACTGTGTGACATTCCCTCTATCTATTAAAAATGCCCTCACCTTTATGAAATACCTAATACAGGAAATCTCAACTGTGTTGTTCTGACACTATCTTATGCTAATTAACAGCTGGTAGGAGAAGAGGAAGGAAAGAGAATAAGCATTTATCTAATGCCTGCTGCTATGTACCAGGCCCTGTGCTAAGCACTTTTTACTATTGTTATCTTACTGGATCCTCACTACAACCCTAGGAGGTAGGTGCTATTATTATCTCCATTTTACAGTTAAGTAAACTGAGGCAAACAGAGGTTAAGTTACATATCTGGTAAGTATCTGAGGCTGGATTTAAAATCAGGTCTTCCAGTCCCAGAGTTCCCTCTATCCACTATGCAACCAGCTACCTTGCTGGGAAAAAAAGATGATAAGACATCATACACACACACACACACACACACACTCACACACTCACACACACACTCCCCCCAAAAAACAAAACAAGATAATCAGATTCAAAGTTCCGAAAGTAAACTATGAAAGCACAATTTGAACTACAACTGCATGTCTGATATCCTCAAACATACTTCTCCTACTAGAAGAAAAATCCATGTGCACAAAATTATGCTTTAAAGCAAATGTCCACTTGTATGAGGGGAAACATGTTATTGTGCATAGAGGGCTAGTCATGGAGTCAGGATGACCTGAGTTCAAGCCTCTTCTCTGACACATACTGACGTGTGTCCCTGGGCAAATCATTTACCCTCTCCTACACCAGGCAACTCTTTAAGACTAAACATTCACCAATCTTCATTGGGAAATGTAAATTCCATACTGTAAATTCCCCATACCAATAAAACTATAGGTATAGACCAAAAAAAAAACAATCTGCACGTGGAATAAGTTTGGAAGGTATTGTTATGCTCCTTTTATAGATGAAGGACCTGAGGTCCTGCCTAGGACAACAGGCAGAACATTAAGTGGGGAGTCAGGAGACTTGATGCTGATATTTACTGGTTCTCTGACCAAAGAAAAACCACTTCCTCTCTGCACCTCACTTTCCTCATCTGTAAAACAGGGTTAATAATATTATTACCAAATAAAAATATGGTGGAAAAAGTACATTATAAATCTTAAATCACTCTGAAATATAAGGTATCATTATTATTACTACAAATACTGACCAAGGTCATAAAACTAATAAGCAGCAGAGCTAAGACTCAAAGACACTTACGAATCTGGGAGAGATTGTCCTGAGATTCAAAAATTTTGCTGGAGATAATGTGTACATAAATTATCAGTCACTGATTTATACTAATTTTAAAAGTCGTTCAGCATATGCAATACCTTGGCAATCTTTGTAAGCTTTTTGTAACTTTTCTACACTTTTCCATCAGGACCAAATGCTTTGGTTAAGTCCACTAGATTCAGTAGGAATATGGTTCCTGAAGCCCATTATGGGTTGCAGTCTGGCAGAAAAACAACAGGGAAATTTGAGTAAATGCATTCTAAATCATCAGATCACAGAATGGGAAAGGACCTCAGAGATCATTGAGTCCAACCCCTTCATTTCTACAGTTAAGGAAACTGAGGTGCTGAGAAGTTAAGTGACCTGCTCTTTATAACATGCTCAAATACACACAGAATAAACTGGCCATGTTAGCTGCATGCTATGGATCTTGCTAACAAGTATTAGAAGTTGAACTAAGGCACATGTCAGCAGGGATCAGTCACTGACTAATGATTCAGATTGGCTTTTTTATTGGCCAAAATACATACCAAGGAACAACAGGCCATTCCTGCTACACAGAGGAGTGTTGGAGTATCCACCAACCAGGAAAGATTTAGAAGTTGCTCAGGTCTTTTGACTGTGGCAACCCCAAGCACAGTCATGGGTGCAAAACTTTTATATAATAAGCACAATTAGCCACTTAATCACAGCACCAAGGAATAACTGCCTGGTAGAGATCAAGCTTTCCACTGTCGGTAGATTAGTGAGGTACTCCCCAGTGTCAAGAAAAAGAAAGACAGCCCAATAGGGTTTGTCTAACCAGCCTGCACCAGCAGGTGAATATTGAGGCCTAACCCAAGACAACAGGGCAATGGGGCACTATTATACCTGAGCTGGGAAAACAATTCCAGACCCAGAGAGTGGGGTAAGAAACACAGTAATTCAAAGCTGTGAAACAACTCCAATCTGTCCCAGTAAGCCACCTAGGCCTCTGTGGCCTATGCTAAGGAGCTCCCCTCTACACCAACACAGGTACATGTACTGAAACTGGCTTCTTCTAGATATCATCAGAGTGAAACTTTGCTTTGACATCATCACTGCCAAAATGGAAGAAGTCTGGGCAACGCAAACTGTATACTCGTATCTGTACATAAATGAAACTTTTCTATGGTGATATCCAAAATATAAAAGCTAACCTGTAAAGTGTGCTCAAATCAGAATAATGGTGTTTCTTTTCATGTATCACAGTTCCACAATCACAGTATAGATAGTAAAAAAGAAACAGCCTTGTAGTGGGAATCAAGGGACCTGGGCTCTCTACCTATCCTGTGTGATCTTGGACAAGTCACTTTCTTTCTTGGTCATTAGTAATTTTCAGTTCCTAATATTCTATAATACTATCGTAGTTTGTCATAACACTGCTACCCATTACTTTTTAGGAGGGAAAGTGCCAAGGGAAGAGAAGAGTGTTTCTTCATCTGCCATTTTAGCATTTTTTGAGGCATCAACAAAACTGAAAAAAAAAAATTATTTACAGAAAGAGAAAGGGAAGAAGAATCAGATTGGGATAATTATGCCTAATACTTTATATTCCAAAATGACTGTCAACGAAAGAAGAACCCAGGGGAAGCTACTAACCTTTAAGTGGGGCAAATACTCCCTAAGCCATTTGAGAACTTGCTATTGACTGGACCAAGGATTCTTAAATCAAGGTCCACAGACCCCCAAGGGCTCTGTGGGTAGATTTTATGGTTCAATGAATTTTTTTAAAAAATATTTTGTATTGATTTCTTTTGTAATTCTTTTTTTGAATTACAAAATTAAAAACGGTACTCTGAGAAGAGGTCCATAAGTTTCATCAGATTGCCAAAGGGGACCAAGACACAAAAAAAGGTTAAGAATCCTGGACCAGACTGTCCCAATGGAGCTTACAAGCAATCAACAAGGTTTCCATGAAATGCAACCTTCCTCTGTATGACGCTGTCTATTTACTAAGAATTTTTCTACAGATTAAATCACATTGATCTCAGCCCACGAATTTTCAATTTTAACAAGCTCTACAAATTTAATTATACCCTATTCATTAAACTAATGATTGAACAGTTGAGTAGTTCATGAGATGTACCATGTGTAATTCAGAAATAAAGTATCCCAATATAGGCCAATTTAAACCAATAAATATACAAATATAGCCCAGCCCATTAGATATATAGGCAATTAACTAAGCCAAATCACTACTCACTTCCATTCCTCTGCCAGAAATCCACTTGAGGTAGGTAAATGGCTATAGTCAAGATTGGCTGAAATGTTGTAAACAGGGAACAAGGCTATAAATATACTCCATTCTAGAACCTTAAAAAGTTATGCAACATCATCAGAGATTATCTAGGTACAAACATACCAGTAAAATGGGCAACTTTGAAAGAAAAAGAGCCCACGTTTTCTTGCATGTGAGCTGGTGATTTCCTTGGTTTTGTCTCAATAGCTATTTATGTCAAAGCTAGGACCAGATTTGCCAGAGGGAAATTTTTTTCAGAACTAATCTGTTTAGGTCTGTGCATTAATTACAGTCCACAAAATGTCCTTTTATGCTTCTGTGATTTAAACTCAGTGTTCAAGTTGGTAGGACATTATACAGAATAAAACTGAGCACTCTTGTGGGCCGGGTAGACATCACAATGAAAGGCATTCAGTCTTGACAATGGATTCCCTTTTTGAATAAAGTCTGTGAGGATACAAGGACTGGAGCACATCCTTCAAACTTTTTGCATGAAATCAGAATACCACTATAATAAATGGAAGTAAGCTGGGAGCGATCAGGGACTTCCAGTAGCAAAAAATAGACTACTGGCAACATAGCCAATTTTCAGTTTGATTGTGAAAAGTGAGAGAAAGAGCCTCAAAACTACCCTCACTGGAAACAATGAGAGAGATTCATTCCTAAAGGGCTGGTGACCAGAACTCTGGGTTTTCTCAGAAATTTCTGACCTATTCCGCCATCTTCCCAGAATGCTCCAAGTTTTATCACTATAAATTCTCAGCATACGTTTAAGTGCCAGTCAGTGAGCAAACATGAACGTTCTCAATAAGTCTTCCAGGTTAGAATAAGATAAGTACAAGTTATCCCTAGAATTAGCTTGCCTATGAGTTTGTGATAAGCACATTTGATATAGTAACATCCCATAAATTGTTTTTTTTTGATTCAGTTGAGTAATATAGAAGCATAACTAGCATCATCACATTTAAATAGCTTCAGAAGGCACCTTAAAGAACATGTAGTCCAAAGCCCACATTTTCTAGAGGAAAAATTTAATTAGAAAGAAGTTTTTGGTCAATTTTAAGGGTACTGTAGTGATAATGTATATGTTTGTGTATATGTGAGAGTATGTTTGTGTGTATGTGAGAGTATGCGTGTGTGCACGTGAGAATATGGAGTTAGGGGCTGGCTTCTGTTTTTATTGATATAAGGAATTCCTTGCTAGAGAAA